CCCCCCCCCCCCCCCCATACGCGCTTTACGGCATGCCTTGACATGACCAACCCCCCTTGCCCGGTGATATTTTTTTTTGGTCAGATTTCCCACAACCGGTCTCTGGATGGGGTTTTAGACGAGCTCCACAACAAGAGGCTGACCGAAGCGGGGTCTTTAGATATGCTGGAGGCGGGGTCTGACAGCGACGGAGAAGGGGAGCGATATCGCGGCGCAAACCTTGCCCTGCCCGGTAAGTGGAGTCTGGTGTCAAATGTTGTTTGTCGTCGGTGTTGTTGGTTTACTCATGTGTGTGAGTTTGTATTTCCTGCGGCTTGTGGTGATGCTGCTGCTGCTTCTGTAAGGCTTGTTCCTCCAAGTTCTTGCGAAAAACACAAGGCAACTGCAGGGCATTGGGGTAGTGGCAGCAAGACGGGCGGAGCTCGAGGGTGTGCTGTTACGCGGTATCCCCCACCCTCCCCCACCCCGGTAGCGAAGTGGGCAAACAAAAAGAGGCGTAGACAACCCACGGAATGGGTAAAGGTTGTAGAGGACGTATGGAAGGGGTTCGACATCGACGAAGATGAAACGCTGGAAACGGAGGGTCTACAGGGGTTCAAGGAGAAGATATCTGTTGCTTGTGCCGAGAGAGAACATAATCTAAGGAAAGAAACCGAGCATAAGGAGGGCCTAGAAGTGTACGGAATGTTGAAGGAAGGAATAGGGTTCAAGGATTACCTTCATGGACCAATGGATGCAGGGACAAAGCTGAAGGTCACATTCAGGACCGGGGACATTAGCCTTCGAGAACGTGGACGAAGATTGCGGAACGTAGACGATGAAGACGACAAGTTCAAATGTGATCGCGGCTTCGACCACCAAGACCGTGTTCATGTAGTTGCGGAGTGTCCGTTGTACTAGAAGGAGAGGGAAGTGTACCTGACTAAACTGGGAAGAATAGAAGGAAGGTACAGGCAGGTGTTTGACGCATGGAATAGCGAGGAAAAGACGCTAGCCGTACTGGGGCATAGGAAGTGGGTTGAAAAGGCGGGAAGATATATCGTTAGGATAGACAGATTAGGGAAGACATTTTTGAGCCACCTTTGGCAAAGTAGGAAGGTACGATTGGCCATCGGTGATGGGTCCTGTGGGAACAATGCTCCGTTCTCTCGAGGACGCGTGGTCATGGTTCAGCCGCTAAGGCATGCAAAACGTGAGTGTACGCCCCCCCCCCCCCGGTGTAGACAAGATAGAGGGAATGGATTTGAGACACAATTTGGCACAAAGTAGGAAGGGACGATTGGCCAATCGGTCCTACGGGAACAAATATTTGTCACACGAGGACGCGTGGTCGACGGTCTAAGGTGCTACGGCGGCATGCGTTTACATGAGAGTACTGTAAGCCCCCCCCCTCTCTCCAGTAGGCATGCACGACTATGAGTACACCCCCCCTCTCCCCAGTTTGTATGTGGTCAATGGTTTAGGTGCTACGGCATGCGTTTACATGAGAGTACTGTAAGCCCCCCCCCCCTCTCGCTCCACTTTGTGTGTGGTCAGTGGTCTAGCAACTAAGGCTGCAAAATATGAGTACCCCCAGTGGCCTTCCAATGTTTGATAACCAGATTCTGGTTCAGCCTTGTGAAACGATGCCTGGACCGGCCCATACTCGGCATTGTAGGGATGCGAGGTCAATGGTCTAACGATACGGCATGCGTCTCCACGAGAGATGAAGAAAGTACCCCCTCCCCCCCCCCCCC